GGGAGTAGATGTGTCAGTGGATGGGTTTATGTAGGATGAGGTTAATCATATATTGAAGAAGGAAAAAAGGTGGGTGGTGCAGTGAGGTATTTGAGGAGACATAAAACGTTATCCATGGAGAAAGAAGAGAATGTATGAAAGTAAAGTGGTACCAACACTCTTATATGGGTGTGAAGCTTGGGTTGTAAATGTTGCAACGAGGAGGTGGCTGGAAGCAGTGGAGATGTCCTGTCTAAGGGCAATGTTTTATTTATTTTTTTTATTAACACATCGACCATTTCCCACCAAGGCAGGGTGGCCTGAAAAAGAAAAATTTTCATCACCATTCACTCCATCACTATCTTGCCAGAGGCATGCCTACACTACAGTTATAAAACAGCAACATTAACACCCCTCCTTCAGAGTGCAAACACTGTACTTCCCATCCCCAGGACTCAAGTCCGGCCTGCCGGTTAAATCCTTAAAACCATTTGTCTCCATTCGCTCCTGTCGAACACACTCAGGCACGCTTGCTGAAAGTCCAAGCCCCTCGCACACAAAACCTCCTTTACCCCCTCCCTCCAACCTTTCCTAGGCCGACCCCTACCCTGCCTTCCCCCCACTACAGATTTCACACTCTTGAAGTCATTCTATTTCGTTCCAGCCTCTCTACATGTCTAAACCATCTCAATAATCCCTCCTCAGCTCTCTGGATAATAGTTTTGGCAATCCCACACCTCCTCCTAATCTCCAAACTACAGATTCTCTGCATTATATTCACACCACACATTGCCCTCAGACATGACATCTCCACTGCCTCCAGCCTTCTCCTTGTTGCAACATTCACAACCCATGCCTCACACCCAAACAAGAGCATTGGTTTAACTATACTCTTATACATTCCCCTCTTTGCTTTCATGGATAAAGTTCTTTGTCTCCACAGACTCCTCAGTGCACCACTCACCTTTTTTCCCTCATCAATTCTATGATTCACCTCATCCTTCACAGACCCATTTGCTGACACGTCCACTCCCAAATATCTGAACACATTCACCTCCTCCATACTCTCTCCCTCCAATCTGTGTGGTGTAAATATTATGTGTGGTGTAAACATTATGCAGAGAATTCGGAGTGTGGAAATTAGGAGAAGGTGTGGAGTTAATAAAAGTATTAGTCAGAGGGCTCAAGAGGGGTTCAGGTGGTTTGGTCATTTAGAGAGAATGGATCAAAGTAGAATGACTTGGAGAGGGTATAAATCTGTAGGGGAAGGAAGGTGGGGTAGGGGTCGTCCTCGAAAAAGATGGAGGGAGGGGGTAAAGGAGCTTTTGTGGGCGAGGGGCTTGGACTTCCAGCAAGCGTGCGTGAGCGTGTTAGATAGGAGTGAATGGAGACGAATGGTTTTTGGGACCTGACGAGCTGTTGGAGTGTGAGCTGGGTAATATTTAGTGAAGGGATTCATGGAAACCGGTTATTTTTATATAGCCGAACTTGAGTACTGAAAATGGGAAGTACAATGCCTGCACTTTAACCCCTTGACTGTCACAACCCCAAATCCTGAGGTGTCTCCTGATGTCATAAAATTTAAAAAAAAAAAAAATTATTTTTTCTTATGAAATGATAGAGAATCTTTTCCTGATTGTAATGACACCAAAAGAACGAAATTTGATGGAAAACTGACAGAATTATGCTCTTGTGAAGTTAGCGACGGCGATATTTACAAATTGGCGATTTTGCCCAATTTGAGCCCTATTTTCGGCTAATTCCATTGTTCCAGTCTACAAAACTCATAGCTATTTTTTTAGAACTCCATTTTTTCTATCAACTGAGTACAAGAAACTGCCCATTTACCAATTTCAACCACCCAATAATGTGGTCAGAAATTTACAATTTGGCCAATTTCATGAAAATTAAAAAATATGACAATTTCAAAATAGAGTTCAGAATGAACAATGCAGACATTCCTGGCTCAAAAATAACATTTTCTTTGTTCATCAGTCACATCTCCAGGCCCCTCTGATATTACTCTTGCTTTCTATTTTTAATTTTTATTCAAACAAAAATAGAAGATTTACAGTTATGCAGACTACTGCAATATTGTAATAATTGTATAAATAATGTCAACCTATTCATGACTGCATATTAGAATGGCTAGTTGAACATTTATTGGAAAATGACATCATTTGTTTACTTTTGAACATCGGCAAAAATCAAACATTTCCCCTACTTAGAGCTCCAATTCAAGGTTCTTTTCATAGTAAAACCAATCAAAATCACCTATATTTCTATAATGTTTTCCATTCTATCAAATGAGACCAAGAAAACGATAATACAGCCATAAATACTATACAAAAGTAGACCACAAATTTGGCATTTTAATTAAAATACAAACAGTCGGAGGTTTTTTCTCATTATGCACTACGTGCTGCAGGATTTTTTTATATGGTGCACACTGACAACACACACCCATTTTCTCACATGTGAGCCTACCAGCTTTCTCCTGCTTGATTCGAAGCCGCTAGAATTTATGAGTATATATATGTATGTCAAAAATGGTGGTTCGTAAGACGTATATATACGACCAAAACAGTCAAAGGGTTAACCCTTTCAGGGGTGCGGACGTATTAGTACAGCTTACGCGCCAGGGTTTTTGACGTACTAGTACCCCTAAATTCTAGCGCCCTCAAATCTAGTGAGAGGAAGCTGGTAGGCCTACATATGAAAGAATGGGTCTATGTGGTCAGTGTGTGCAGTATAAAAAAAATCATGCAGCACACAGTGCGTAATGAGAAAAAAAACTGACCGTGTTTTTGGATTAAAACAGCGACTTTGCACTGTATTTTCGTATGGTATTTATTGTTGTATTCTAGTTTTCCTGGTCTCATTTTATGGAATGGAAGACATATTACAGAAATTGAGATGATTTTGACTGGTTTTACAATGAAAAGTACATTGAAATTGAGCTCAAAGTAGCAGAAATGTTCGATTTTTACCAAAGTTCAAAAGTAAACAAATCATGCTAAGCGTCCAATACACGTCAACTGGTGAGTCTAATATTCTTTCACAAGTGCACTGATATTATTTATACCGTTTCTACACTAATGCAGTAGTCTGCATAACAGTAAATCTTCAATTTTTTGTGAGAATAAAAATTCAAAGTGGAAAGCAAAAGTGAAGATACGGTACTATGTTCCACAGTCAGCCCTCCTGGCCCTTTATCACTCACTTATTTACCCCTATCTCACCTATGGAATTTGTGCAAGGGGCTCAACAACAATAAACCATCTCAGACCACTAATTACCCAACAAAAGGCTGCAGTCAGAATGATGATAAATTCCCACTACAGGCAGCACACTCCACCAATATTCAAAACTCTGAACCTACTCACCATACAAAACATCCATACTTATTACTGCACCTACTACATACATAGAACACTTAACTCTGATATAAACCCTCCCCTCAGATGTCTCTTTACCAACCTCAACAGAACACATGACCATAACACAAGGCACAGATCACTCTTTGATGTTCCTCGTGTCCATCTCACGCTATGCAAAAACTCAATGCACATAAAAGACCCTAAAATCTGGAATTCATTACCTGTGAATATAAAAGAAACACTATCTGTTTATAAATTCAAGTCTCTTCTCAAAAATCACTTATTCACCCACAACTAAATAAATACTGAATAATTGTATCTCATAAATGTTTCTCATTATTGTATCTCATAAATGTCTAACCTGTGACCCAATCAAACTTTGTTATTTTTTAATTACATTACCTAACAGAATACTCCATTCTACTGAATGCACAGCAACACAGTAAATGACCATATGACCTGTCTTTGTAATACTCATTTGTGCTAAATTGTTATCTGTTTACAATAATGTTTTTACCACTGAATATATCATTGCTTAGTTAATCTTAAGTTAATTTTAAGCCTGCCCATAATGCTCTGCATACAAGGGGCTTTGGCATGTTGCACTTTAATAACTGTATTCCTTTGTACTTCTCTGTATCATGTTCAAATTAATAAATAAATAAATGAATGTAAGAGGGGCGTGGGGACATGACTAATGAACAGAGGAAATGTTATTTTAGTGCCAGGAATGTCTGTCTTGTTTATTCTGGACCCTATTTGGAAATTGGCATCTTTTGAAATTTGTGTGAAATTGGCAAAATTGCTAAATTCTGACCACTGTATTGGATAGTTGAAATCGGTAAATGGGTGGTTTCTTGTACTCATTCGATAGAAAAAATGAAGTTCTAGCAAAATAGCTATGATTTTTGTCGACAAGTACACTGGAATTGGCCGAAAATAGGGCTCAAAGTGGGCAAAATCGCTGATGCGTAAACATCGTCAAGACCGCTAACTTCGTGAGAGCATAATTCCGTAAGTTTTCCATCAAATTTCATACTTTTGGTGTCATTATGATTGGGTAAAGATTCTCTATCTTCTCATTAGATTTTTTTTTTTTTTTTTTTTTTAAATTTGGGCGACCCTGAGAACAAGTCTGGGAGAGGGCCTGGGGACCCTGAAAGGGTTAAAGGAGCAGTTTGGGATATTGGCAGTTAGGAGGGATATGTTTAATATCTTTATATATGCTTCTAAACTGTTGTATCTGGGCATCTCTGCAAAGACAGTGATTATGTATGAGTGATGTGAATGTGTTGAATGATGATGAAAGTACAGTGGTACCTCGGGATACGAACAGCTCAAAACTCGAACAGTTATGTAAGTGTATTTAAGTGCTTTTGTAAGTGTATTTTTGGGAGTCTGAAATGGTTTAATCTAATTTACATTATGCCTTATGGGAACAAATTCGTTTGGTATCGGCACTCGAACAGCCTTCTGGAACGAAATAAATTCATATCCCTAGGTAACACTGTATTTTCTTCTTGGGGATTTCCTTTCTTTTTGGGTCACCCTGTCTCGGTGGGAGATAGCCGACTTGTTGAAAAAAAAATATATGAATAAAAGATTGATTATATATTCTTTTTCCATGCTAATGATGTATAGGCTCTTGTTGAACACATGATTCAGCGGGAACCCAACAAGAGACTCAGTGTGGCCGAGTATCTAGAGCAGGAGCGAGGAGCCACATTTCCTGAACATTTCTATACATTCCTGTGGCCATTTCTCAAGCAGTTTGCTGTTGCACCAATCATGCCTCCTGATGACAAAATCAAACAGTAAGCATATTTCTTTTCATATACTCATAAAGTTGAAACTTTATGATCATCCCCAATCATGACTTAAATTTGAAATTTTTAAAGAATTTCTTAATTACAGTGGACCCTCACCTAATGAACGCATTGCATAACATTAAATCCAGCTAGCGATACATTTTAACGCAAAAATTTTGCCTTGGCTAGCGCTAAAAAACTCGCCCAACGCAATTCGTTCCGTTCAAGACGCATTCACTTGCGGCCTGAGCGCACCTCACTTGTCCCGTGGGTGCCAGTGTTTACAAGCCAGCCACCGCGGTCGCATCCAAACATACAATCGGAACATTTCATATTATCACAGCGTTTTTAGTGATTGCACCTGCAAAATAAGTCACCATGGGCCCCAAGAAAGCTTCTAGTGCCAACCCTACAGCAAAAAGGGTGAGAATTACTTTGGATATGAAGAAAGAGATCATTGCTAATTATGAAAGTGGAGTGCATGTCTCCGAGCTGGCCAGGTTGTACACAAAACCCAATCAACCATCGCTACTATTGTGGCCAAGAAAACGGCAATCAAGGAAGCTGTTCTTGCCAAAGGTGCAACTTTGTTTTTGAAACAGAGATCGCAAGTGATAGAAGATGTTGAGAGACTATTATTGGTGTGGATAAACGAAAAACAGATAGCAGGAGATAGCATCTCTCAAGCGATCATATGTGAAAAGGCTAGGAAGTTGCATGACGATTTAATTAGAAAAATGCCTGCAACTAGTGGTGATGTGAGTGAATTTAAGGCCAGCAAAGGTTGGTTTGAGAGATTTAAGAATCGTAGTGGCATACATAGTGTGATAAGGCATGGTGAGGCTGCCAGTTCAGACCAAAAAGCAGCTGAAAAATATGTGAAGGAATTCAAGGAGTACATAGACAGTGAAGAATTGAAACCTGAACAAGTGTTTAATTGTGACAAAACAGGCCTGTTTTGGAAGAAAATGCCAAGCAGGACCTACATTACTCAGGAGGAAAAGGCACTCCCATAAGCCTATGAAAGACAGGCTTACTCTGTTGATGTGTGCTAATGCTAGTGGTGATTGCAAAGTGAAGCCTTTATTGGTGTATCATTCTGAAACTCCCAGAGTGTTCAGGAAAAACAATGTCCTCAAGGCTAATTTGTGTGTGATGTGGAGGGCAAACAGTAAGGCATGGGTCACTAGAGACCTTTTCTATGACTGGTTACACCATGCATTTGCCCCCCACTGTCAAAAATTACCTCCTGGAAAATAAATTGGACCTTAAGTGCCTCCTGGTATTAGACAGTGCTCCTGGTCATCCTTCAGACGTGGTAGAGTGACTTTCTGGGGACACGAGCTTCATTAAGGTCAAGTTTTTGCCTCCTAATACCACTCCTCTCCTGCAGCCCATGGACCAGCAGGTCATTGCAAACTTCAAAAACCTCTACACAAAAGCTATGTTTGAAAGGTGACTCAAGAAATCGTAATGACACGATTGCAAATAAACCATACCCCCGGCCGGGATTGAACCCGCGGTCATAGTCTCTCAAAACTCCAGCCCGTCGCATTAGCCACTAGACCAGCTAGCCACAATAAGATTCATCCAACTAGGTATATTTCTACCCCATAGGAAGGTTAGCACAGGCACCTCTGTGACCACAAATGCAAGTTTTTACAGACGAATCTCCAGCTAGCGTGGCCGTGATGAACTCTAGCTCAAGTCCCTTCACTGCCGTCAACATGACTCAAGAAATCGTAATGGCACTGATTGCAAATAAACCATACCCCCGGCCGGGGGTATGGTGGCTAGCTGGTCTAGTGGCTAACGCGACGGGCTGGAGTTTTGAGACTCTATGACCGCGGGTTCAATCCCGGCCGGGGGTATGGTTTGAAAGATGCTTTGTAGTGACCACAGAAACTCATTTGACTCTAAGAGAGTTTTGGAGAGATCACTTTAGCATCCTTAGTTGTGTAAACATTATAGGTAAGGCTTGGGAGGAAGTGATTAAGAGGACCTTGAACTCTACTTGGAAGAAACTGTGGCCAGAATGTGTAGACAAAAGGGATTTTGAAGGATTTGAGGCTAACCTTGAGAAGCCTATGCCAGTTGTGGAATCAATTGTAGCATTAGGGAAGTCCTTGGGGTTGGAGGTTAGTGTGGAGGATGTGGAAGAGTTGGTGGAGGAGGACAATGAAGAACTAACCACTGATGAGCTGCAAGATCATCTTCAACAGCAAGAGGCCAGACCTGAGGAAACTGCTCCGGAGGAGGGAATAGAGAAATTGAGGAAGTTGCCTACTTTAAAGATTAAGGAAATGTGTGCAATGTGGCTTAAAGTGCAAACCTTTTTTGATGAAAATCACCCTCACACAGCTATTGCAAGCCGTGCTGGTGACTATTACACTGACAATGTTGTGAAACACTTTAGGAATGTCATAAAGGAACGGGAGATACAGGCCTCTATGGACAGATATGTTGTGCGACAGAGGTCCAGTGACTCTCAAGCTGGTTCTAGTGGCATTAAAAGAAGAAGGGAAGTAGCCCCGGAAAAGGACTTGACATCTCAATTCCTAATGGAAGGGAATTCCCCTTCTAAACATTAACACCATCCGCACACTCCCCTCCTCCCATCCCATCAATCATCACCAGATCTTCAATAAAGGTAAGTGTCATGTAATTGTTCACACAGTTTGTGTGTATTAAAATTAATATTTCATGTGATAAACTTTTTTTTTTTTTCATACTTTGGGGTGTCAGGAACGGATTAATTTGATTTCCATTATTTCTTATGGGGAAAATTAATTCGGCTAACGATAATTTCGCCTAACGTTGAGCTCTTAGGAACGGATTAATATCGTTAGGCGAGGGTCCACTGTATATTCTTTATATAATTAATTAATTTAGGTAGTCATTTATGCTTTGGGTTGGTGTAGTTGAAGGTGATGTAACAACTGCAAATAATAAAGAAGAATATTAAAGGCAGGGATGTACCATGCATGAGAATAATGTGTTGTGTAAATACAGTACAGCCTCTCCTTACTTTACGATGAAGTTCCATTCCTAAGACCACGTTGTTAAACGAATTTGTCGCTAAGTGAGGAGCATATTATAATGGTAGTGAGTTTGTGTCAACCATCTTTGATATTGTTTAGTGTCACCTTTGCACCATTTATAACATTTCTGATATACATACGTATGTTTAAATGTTTATACAGTAGTGTACTGTATATTGAAATAAACAGAATAAAGGAAATCAGCTCTAATATACATTATTTAGGTTTGAATGCTGGTCAGAGAGCCCTTCTTAAGTCCGAGGCATCGGTAAACGAATATGTCGCTAAGTGAGGAGAGGCTGTATTATGTAAGAAATAAATTAAGAATCTAGAAGACATTTATTGTGAAATGAAAGGTATAATGCAAATAACAGAAAAAGGTTAAGATGGTTTGGTCATGTAGAAAGAAAGGAGGATGATAGTAGGTCAAGACTTCTTATGAATCTTGAATGAATGGCATTGAGATGTTTTTTCTCATCATTAGATACACCTCACTGTGCAGGAAACTCTTGCCCAACACTTGAATCCTAGCTGGAGTAGTGGTTTTACACAGTTAACACAGGATATGACTACTACAAAAAATTTATTTTTCCTGCATTAGACCTACAGCAGTTGGCTATTATAATGGTACCTACCCATATTTTTTTCAGCTGGGTAGACAAATACAATGCAGAAAATTTGCCCATATGTTTCATTGTTCCTGGGAATAAAACCCAGGACCTTATGGTTGTAAACTAAGTGCTCTCACAAGTGAGCTACATATGACCTTAGAGGTTCAGGGGATGTCAGTGAAGAGGATGAAAGGTAGGCTAATGTGGGCATGTTAAACTGAAGAGGGTGTAGGGGTTTGCCATACTGTTATAATGTCTTCATGGTAGTGCATGCTCCTGGAAACCACTTACTCAGACCTGAGTTTTGGAGGTGGGGAATATGTGCTGTACAAGACCTGCTCTGAAAGTTGGGCTCAGGTGATGGTGACTGGAGGGTCATTGACTGGAAGGAAAGCAAAGGGCCAAGAGATGGTAAATTTGTTTTCTTTCAAAGTTGATCCCATGCATCAGAAATCTTTCCTATGAGGATAGACTGAGGGCCCTGAATCTGCACTCTCTAGAAAGGCATAGAATTAGGGGGGATATGATTGAGGTGTATAAATGGAAAACAGGAATAAATAAAGGAGATGTAAATAGCATGCTGAAAATTTCCAGCCAAGATAGGACTCGCAGCAATGGTTTCAAGTTGGAAAAATTCTGATTCAGGAAGGATATAGGAAATCACTGGTTTGGTAATAGAGTTGTGGATGAGTGGAACAAACTCCCAAGTTCTGTCATAGAAATGAAAACGTTGTGTAGTTTTAAAAATAGGTTAGATAAATACATGAGTGGGTGTGAGTTGGGCCTGACTAGTTTGTGCTACTAGGGCTGATGCCGTGCTCCTTCCTTAACCCGTAAACGGTCCAAGCAGATCTACGTTCATATGTGTAGTGCTACAAAAGTAGATCTAAGTTTTTTTTACATATTTTCAAATATAACAAAAAAAAAAAGTAGATCAAAGTTTTTTTTACACATTTTCAAATGTATAAAAACAAAAAGAAGATCTACTTTTTTTACATACTTTCAAATGTTGAAAAAACGTATATATACGTTTGGACCGTTTACGGGTTAAATGGAAGTGATCTGACTAGGTGGGTCATTGGTCTAAGCTGGGGGGTTGATATTGACCTGCTTTGCATGGGTCAGTAGGCCTGCTACAGTGTTCCTTCTTATGTTCTTACGTTCTTATGAGCACCTGTTCTTTCAAGAAATTAACGTGCTCACACACCAAGCCATAAATGCACCTATAATGCTAACATTTATATTTAAGATTATATTATTATCAGGATCATAAGCTGTAGGAAAAAGCATGCACTTTCAACATGTTTTGCTGCTTTAATTTGATCAACAACAACTAGGGCTAAAGAAAAATCAAAATTATCTCGCACAGATGTGTCTATGAAAATGGTATAATAACATGAAAGGCTTGCTGGCTTACATTCTAGTTCACTCAAAACTTCTCCAAACTAATTTACATAATATCATTTTCCACAAAGTCAAATTTTAATTTAATTAAGAAACTGCTCTTATAAGTCCTCAGGGTAATCCCTGACTTAGTGATAATGGGATTCTTGGCAAGAGTGCATTTGACACTTCCTTGAGTTAAGTCTGGAACATATTGATGGAACTCACCTTTCAGAGGTTGACTGTGATTCTCAGTCTTGGTTTTAAAGGCCATTACTGTATGAAATTTTAGTCATTCAGGTTGTTCCTTTGCTTTATGTGACTCTTCCATAACTAGCTTAGCAGTAAACATTCAAAATACATATTTTCTAATGAGAGTTGCATATCTACTTTGTAACTAACACTGAGGACATGTAAAACCTTAAAAAGTATCCTAATAACAGGATAAAATACTCCCAATTAAAGGTGGCAAGGAAGGAATTTCTTAAGTTTCAAGAAATATATTCACTCAGCTCACTCAAGCCCCTCTTGTCAACTGTTTGCACTGAACTCTCACACCTTTCCCTGAGGTTTTCTCTTGCCTCCCTGGTGAAGCACCATTCTCAGCATAAGAACCACTGCTGTAAGTGATTGATGCATACATAGTATAAGGCCCCTTTGGATTTCTAATAAAATTATGAATTAGAACTGAATAGAATAATTTAGTAATATACCCTATATGCATTGGTCTTTTCAGGATAAAGAAATGTTTAATGGACATACTAATAGCACTGGGTGCCGAAAATGAAGCGTCAAAAATAATTGAAGGAAAAGAAGAAAAGGAGAAAGCCGATATGGAGAAGCCAGAAAAAAAATGTGAGGCTCTCATCATTATTGCCTCTCTCATCACCTCCTCTCTAAGGTAGCATATATTTTTCATTGTATATTTTGTTTTGTTTTCAACAAACCGGCCATATCCCACTGAGGCAGAGTGACCTAAAAAGAAAAATGAAAGTTTTTCTTTTTAAATTTAGTAAATTAAGCAGAAGGGGTTACTAGCCCCTTGCTTCCAGCATTGAAGCTGCCTCTTGTGACACGCATGACTTACAGAAGAAGAATTCTTTTCCATTTCTTCTATAGTTTTTTTTTTTTTTTTTAACAAGTCGGCCGTCTCCCACCGAGGCAGGGTAACCCAGAAAGAAAGAAAATCCCCAAAAAGAAAATACTTTCATCATCATTCAACACTTTCACCTCACTCACACATAATCACTGTAATTATACACTAAAAATATGGATAACAATGAGAATTTTTCAAACAAGAAGAAATAAATAATATTTACACTTTCTTAATGAGTCTGCTCAACATATTAGAACTGCTTCTTGACAGTAGATGTGCTATTGTATTTATTTACACAACTCTTCTTACAGTTATATAAGTGTTTAGCAGTAGATGAGAGTATATATATCTACAAAACTATAGTTGAAGTTCTTAAATTATTAATGGATCTTCTGTACTGTGGTAAAATAAATTTTAATGTATTGTACATTTTATTGCACTGTACTGCAGGCACTACAGTGCCTACAGTACAGTGCCTGCACTCTGAAAGAGGGGTTTGAGATACTTGCTGTTTAGTGACATCTGATAAATGAGACACTTGTGCAACATTTGGAAATGTTTTGCCATATTGTGACTTCTTCAGTCCATTGCAGAAAAAGTTGGAAGATGAGGAGGAGTTCGAAGTAATCAGTCCCCCAGCTTGGGGTCAATGTGTTCAGTCCATCAATCTTGACAAAAGTGTAGCATGTTCACAAAGATGGGGCTTATATACTGATGATAGATGAGGTGGAGCAGTGGTAGGCAAGTCACCAGTGAACAAAGCCACTGGTGGAAATAGGTCATGCCTGTAGATTAGACAAGTTTTGAAGAAATCTCTGCATCAGTATACCAAGATGTTGTTGTGTCTGACAGAATATGAATAAATGGTTTAAAAAAAAAGACTTGTTGATAAATGAGACACTTGTGCAACACATCAGTTTTTTAAACCATTTATTCTCATCCTGTCATAAGCTACCTTTTTCTCTTTTATCACACCCTTTACTTCATCATTCCACCAATCACTCCTCTTTCCTCCTGCCCCCACCCTCCTATAACCACAAGCTTCTGCCCCACATTCTAATACTGCATTTTTAAAACTATTCCAACCCTCTTCAACCCCCCCACTACTCATCTTTCCACTAGCCCACCTTTCTGCCAATAGTCGCTTATATCTCACCCGAACTTCCTCCTCCCTTAGTTTATACACTTTCACCTCCCTCTTACTTGTTGTTGCCACCTTCCTCTTTTCCCATCTACCTCTTACTCTAACTGTAGCTACAACTAAATAATGATCCGATATATCAGTTGCCCCTCTATAAACATGTACATCCTGGAGCCTACCCATCAACCTTTTATCCACCAATACATAATCTAACAAACTACTTTCATTACGTGCTACATCATACCTTGTATATTTATTTATCCTCTTTTTCATAAAATATGTATTACTTATTACCAAATTTCTTTCTACACATAGCTCAATTAAAGGCTCCCCATTTACATTTACCCCTGGCACCCCAAATTTACCTACTACTCCCTCCATAACATTTTTACCCACTTTAGCATTGAAATCCCTAGCCACCATTACTCTCACACTTGATTCAAAACTCCCCACGCATTCACTCAACATTTCCCAAAATCTCTTTCTCTCCTCTACACTTCTCTCTTCTCCAGGTGCATACACGCTTACTATAACCCACTTTTCACATCCAATCTTTATTTTACTCCACATAATCCTTGAATTAATACATTTGTAGTCCCTCTTTTCCTGAATATCAAAATGGTATACAATACCGACAGGATGGTTGTTAAGACACATAGGCAACACTTAGGCAACTTTATTCCGAAATGTTTCGCCTACACAGTAGGCTTCTTCAGTCGAGTACAGAAAGTAGACAGGAGCAGTCTGGAACTAACTGTTCCAGACTTTGGAATAGAACTTCTCCAGGCTGAGGGACTGACAACTTCAAATCTACGACTTTAAGGGTGATGGACTGATTACATCGTCTTCACATCTCTACTGCTCCTGCCTACTTTCTGTACTCGACTGAAGAAGCCTACTGTGTAGGCGAAACGTTTTGGAATAAAGTTGCTTAAGTGTTGCCTATGTGTCTTAACAACCACCCTCTTTTCCTGCCATAGCTTATCCTTCAACATTTTTGCTACTCCTTCTTTAGCTCTAACTCTATTTGAAACCCCTGACCTAATCCCATTTATTCCTCTCCATTGAAACTCTCCCACCCCCTTCAGCTTTGTTTCACTTAAAGCCAGGACATCCAGTTTCTTCTCATTCATAACATCCACAATCATCTCTTTCTTATCATTTGCACAACATCCACGCACATTCAGACTTCCCACTTTGACAATTTTCTTCTTCTTATTCTTTTTAGTAATCTTTACAGGAAAAGGGGTTACTAGCCCATTGTTCCCGGCATTTTAGTTGACTTTTACAACACGCATGGCTTACGGAGGAAAGATTCTTATTTCACTTCCCCATGGATATAAAAGGAAAAGTAATAAGACCAAGAACTATTAAGATAAAATCAAAGAAAACTCAGATGAGTGTGTATAAATAAACGTGTACATGTATGTGTAGTGTGACCTAAGTGTAAGTAGAAGTAGCAAGACATGCCTGTAATCTTGCATATTTATGAGACAGACAAAAGACACCAGCAATCCTACCATCATGTAAAACAATTACAGGCTTCCGTTTTACACTCACTTGGCAGGACGGTAGTACCTCCCTGGGTGGTTGCTGTCTACCAACCTACTACCTACAATAATATTATTAATAATATAATATTATTACACTATAATATAATAATCGTGTCCACTCATTACTTACCTTAAAATATCTGTTGCCTTAATGTAGAGTGAGAGGTGAGTAAACAAGATTAAATGAATAAACGAATGAGAGTGTAGAAGGTTGGCGAGTTATGTAAACAAACGTTGTTGTTGTTACCAGCCCGGACACAAATGGTTTCTGTTCACTCTGTCAAGCCGACCAGAAAAACATCTCATATTTGTTAATTTATATGTTTATATGTTATGTAGCATGTTTATTATATAATTTTGTAAAAGAAATCATAGATGGATTAAGCAAAATGTCTATATCAACGTTTTATACACATTTAATGTGCCTCGGTGATTAATATTGTGTTATTATAATTATTAATATGGCATCTTCAAGACCAATTACACTCTTAATGAGTGGCTCTGAGACAGACAAGCAGACAGAAAGACAGACACACAGGTAGACAGAAAGACAGACAGACACAGGTAGGCAGGACACACAGAGAAAGACACACACAGGTAGACAGAGACACACAGGTAGACAGACAGACAAACACACAGGTAGACAGAAAGACACACACATTTAGACAGAAAGACACACAGGAGGAAAGATTCTTATTCCACTTCCCCATGGATATAAAAGGAAAAGTAATAAGACCAAGAACTATTAAGATAAAATCAAAGAAAACTCATATGAGTGTGTATAAATAAATGTGTACATGTATGTGTAGTGTGACCTAAGTGTAAGTAGAAGTAGCAAGACATGCCTGTAATCTTGCATATTTATGAGACAGACAAAAGACACCAGTAATCCTACCATCATGTAAAACAATTACAGGCTTTCGTTTTACACTCACTTGGCAGGACGGTAGTACCTCCCTGGGTGGTTGCTGTCTACCAACCTACTACCTTCATGTACATATGTACTAATATTAATAATAATATTATTACACTATAGTATAATAATCGTGTCCACTCATTACTTACCTTAAAATATTTGTTGTCTTAATGTAGAGTGAGAGGTGAGTAAACAAGATTAAATGAATAAACGAATGAGAGTGTAGAAGGTTGGCGAGTTATGTAAACAAACGTTGTTGTTGTTACCAGCCCGGACACAAATGGTTTCTGTTCACTCTGTCAAGCCGACCAGAAAAACATCTCATATTTGTTAATTTATATGTTTATATGTTATGCAGCATGTTTATTATATAATTTTGTAAAAGAAATCATAGATGGATTAAGCAAAATGTCTATATCAACGTTTCATACACATTTAATGCGCCTCGGTGATTAACCCTTTGACTGTCGCGGCCGTATATATACGTCTTACGAGGTACCGTGTTTGACGTATATATACTCATAAATTCTAGCGGCTTCAAATCAAGCAGGAGAAAGCTGGTAGGCCCACATGTGAGAGAATGGGTCTGTGTGATCAGTGTGCACCATATAAGAAAAATCCTGGAGCACGCAGTGCATAATGAGAAAAAAAAACTCCGACCGATTTTTTTAATTAAAATGCCGACTTTGTGGTCTATTTTCGTATAGTATTTATGATTGTATTCTCGTTTTCTTGGTCTCATTTGATAGAATGGAAAACATTTTATAGAAATATAGGTGATTTTGATTGATTTTACTATAAAAAGAACCTAGAAATGGAGCTCAAAGTAGGGGAAATGTTTGATTTTTACCAATGTTCAAAAGTAAACAAATGATGCCATTGTCCAATAAATGTCCAACTAGCCATTCTAATATGCAGTCATGAATGGGTTGATGTTATTTATACAATTATTACAGTATTGCAGTAGTCTGCATAATAGTAAGTCTTCTATTTTTTGTTTGAATAAAAATTCAAAATAGAAAGCAAGAGTAATATCAGAGGGGCCTGGAGACATGACTGATGAGCAAAGAAAATGTTATTTTAGAGCCAGGAATGTCTGCATTGTTCATTCTGGACCTTATTTTGAAATTGTCATATTTTTTAGTTTTCGTGAAATTAGCCAAATTGCAAATTTCTGACCACATTATCAGGTAGTTGAAATCGGTAAATGGGCAGTTTCTTGTACTCAATCAATAGAAAAAATGGAGTTCTAAAGAAATAGCTATGAGTTTGGGCGACTGGAACAAAGGAATTAGCCGAAAATAGGGCTCAAAGTGGGCGAAATCGCCGATTTGTAAACAGCGCCGAGGTCGCTAAATTCGCGAGAGCATAATTCCGTCAGTTTTCCATCAAATTTCGTTTTTTTGGTGTCATTACAATCGGGAAAAGATTCTCTATCATTTCATAAGAAAAAATAATAATTTTTTTTTTTTAAATTTTGCGACACCAGGAGACACCTCAGGATTGGGGGTTGCGACAGTCAAAGGGTTAATATTGTGTTATTATCATTATTAATATGGCATCTTCAAGACCAATTACACTCTTAATGAGTGGCTCTGAGACAGACAAGCAGACAGAAAGACAGACACACAGGTAGACAAAGACAGACAGACACAGGTAGGCAGAAGGACACACAGGTAGACAAAGACACACACAGGTAGACAGAAAGACAGACACACAAGTAGACAGACACACAGGTAGACAGAAAGACACACACAGGTAGACATAAAGACAGACACACAGGTAGACAGAAAGACAGACACACACAGGTAGACATAAAGACAGACACAAAGACAGACACACAGGTAGACAGACAAACAGACACACAGAGATACAGACAGACACAGATATACAGGCAGACAGATACAGACCGGTTTATGTGGAACAGTGAAAACAAATAGAGAGTTGGAGGGTAAGAGCCTTTCTTGCCACAATCTCCAGTGCAAGATTCAGACTTCATCTTAGGGGCCATGGTGAAATTTACTGTCCAGTTAGTACAGTTAATACAGTATGATGCTGCTGATAGGGCAGGGTTACTCAAACTGATGCTGCCTGCATGACGCATTGCCGCCGTGAGTATTGTCAAATATTGTACAGTGGTGTGCATAAGCCAGCCCAGCCCAGCTGCCAGATGCATGGTCGTAAGTCGAGTGGATGTATGTCGAGCAGGTCGTAAGTCGGATGGTAGGTGTATTTTATTCATTCTAGAGTGTATATCAGGTTTCTGTGTTATCTATATTATTTATTATGCCATATTAGATGAATTATGATAGATAAATAAGCTGTAGAGTTGATATTAGCATCATATTCAAGTATTTTGTCCTGCCTCCTGAGAGCAGGAATTCTGCTGGAACGGATTAAATGGCATTTCAATTAATTTAAATGAGGAAAATTGACTCAGCATACGAACAAATTGGGATGCGAATAAGGTCATGGAACGGATTAAATTCGTAAGCCGAGGTTCCACTGTAGTGGGATCTCTGTCTGCATTAAATCTTATTCATTGGACACTCTTTGTATACAGTAGCTACTTCATATCTCTTAATTGCTCTTTTTCTCTCTAAATACATTAAAAAGTTTTGTCTATTTAATTGTACTTATTCATAAAGCTTGTAAAGTTAAGAGACTTAATTATTTGCAATTTTTTTGATACGAGTATTTTTGAAGAGAAGTGTAAATAAAAGATTTTTTCAGAGCTCTGCATTTCACATCTTCAAAACTGGATGCTTTGGACCTCTTGGGAAAAGTGTCCCAGTATGTTCCAGATGAGATTATTCTGGATCGGATATTGCCTTATATTGTAAGTGTATTTATTTAGTCTTAATTTCCAGAATTCTTTCACTTGCCCTCTCAAATTCCTCCACCAACTTTTGCAACTTCTCTTCAGAATCTCCCAAAAAATCATGTCAGTGGCAAACAGCAACTGTGACAACTCCTACTTTGTTTCACTTTTCACATTCTAGCATCTATAAATAAGGCAAACTACTATGGTGACATCACACATCTCTGTCTAAGGCCTACTTTTACTGAAAATTATCTCCCTCTCCCCTGCATACCCTAACCGGAATCTCACTATCTGCATAAAAGCTCTTTACTGCTTTTAAGAACATAAGAATTGAGGAACACTGCAGAAGGCCTACTGGCCTATGCTACTGCTTTATAGCAGTAGCCTGAAACCTAACCTGCTGTATAAGCAGGGCCTACTTGTACTTGGGATCACATAGTTTACTAGGTACCTAATAGATACTTCCTCTCATGGTATCTGCATCATTTTTTATTAATTGGTGCTTGAATGAGTTAGCATTTTTAAAATTAGCCTTTACATTCAATTGTTTCAGTTAGGACTTGACTAAATCAACATTTATATAATCTTTGTCATTGTCATAAAATCAAGGCTGCATTCACTTAGTATAAGCAAAAACATTGCGGTAATAACAATTTGTTTGACATGCATTGGGTGGTTAGAATAATATTGTGCAATACTATATACTATAAGCATAGGAGCAGGGGCTGGTAATCCCCTTCTCCTATATACATTACTAAATTTAAAAAGAGAAAGTTTTGTTTTTCTTTTTAGGTCACCCTGCCTTGGTGGGATATGGCCAGTTTTGTTGAATATGTGAACACACAATCGTATGTTTCCTTTGCACATTAAACTTGAAGTCTTGACTTGTGTGTTCTTTATGTTCAGTTAGTTTTAAACATAAAATTAGCTCTCCAGGCCACACATTATATGCAAGTGATGCATGTTCAAGCACTTGACATCACCAGACCTACCTACCTAACCCTTTTGACTTCCTCTCCCTGTATTTTCTGTTATTTTTTGTTTCCTGCATTGAATTGAAAGAGCCCCCAGTGGGCAAAACATCTAATTAAATGCCCTACGTGTTGAATTTGTGTTCTTATTCCACAAATGGTTTTTAACACAGTACAAGCTAAACCAGAACATTTTTCAGATTTTGTCACAAAGGAGTTTCAAATTAGCATTGCTTTGACTATTTTCAGTTTCACCTTCTGCACGATGGTGAGCCGCGTGTGCGTGTGTTTGCACTCCACACACTCACTCACTGCCTCACTCTGGTCTCAAGTGTACCAAGATCAGATGCTAACATATTCCCAGAGTACATCCTTCCCAACCTTGCTGATGTAAGTAATTGAGTTCCATCTTGATATTAATGAAGTACAATGTAATATATAATTAAAATTAATAAAGTGGACATTTATGAAAATTATCCTCCATTTTTAACTATTTTTTTAGTACAGTATAATATATTTTAGGACATTTCAGCTTCTATCATTTTACAAGTTTGCAGTTGTTGAAGCTGTCATCTTATTCATGAAACTGAAGAATCTTTTGATTTACCATAGTTTCAGTGGTTTACAATTTAGAAGTTCAGATAATGAGTGTTCCTGCACTTCAGGGAGCTTCACAAGTGTCTTGGTTCAGTTTGTATAGGGATAATAACTTGTCACAAACTTATTGTTCATTTATATTGGGTAGTTTGCAGACTTGTCTCCCTCATGAGTCCCGAGTTTAACTCAGTTGTTGTTACATTTTTATGCCTGTCATACTACAGAAAGCAGCAGATGCACAATAAGCTCATTTTCTGTCTAACAGATGTTAACAGCTTATATTTAAGTATACATTAACTAATTGGTTGAATTTATTCATTTTTTTATAGGTAATGTTAATGTAAACATAGCCTTCTCCAACAAGTAATATTGATGTTTAGTCTGAAATATCGCACTTTATCTAATAGTCAAGTTACACAAATTAATAATTTAATAATCTTTTCCAATAGATCACACAAGATGAAGCTGTCATTGTACGACAAGCGTATGCAGAAAATATTGCAACTATAGCAGAAACTGCTTTGAGGTTAGTATTATGTCATAGTGTTTGTATTTTAAAAACAATAAATTTCCTGTTAACATACATTCTTTTTCAGAAAAAGTTTGTATATTGTGACACAGTGTACTTAAAATATATTAAATAGGAAGCAATTTAGTAGACAGCAGTATTGTCCAGGCTCCAGGAAGGTACCCTGATATTATCCTGTCTTAATAATGGAAAATAGAAGCCTGTTTAATATTTAATATTAATAAGTCTTGTTAACCCTTTGACTGTTTTGGTCATATATATACGTCTTACAAGCCACCGTTTTTGACGTATATTGAAAGAATTAGAGGTAAGACAGAATGTAGAACTGCAGATGAGCAAGGAGGTTTTAGAGTGGGTAGGGGATGTGTAGATCAAGTGTTTACTTTGAAGCATATATGTGAGCAATATTTAGATAAAGGTAAGGAAGTTTTTATTGCATTTATGGATTTAGAAAAGGCATATGATAGAGTGGATAGGGAAGCATTGTGGCAGATGTTGCAAGTATATGGAATAGGTGGTAAGTTACTAAATGCTGTAAAGAGTTTTTATGAGGATAGTGAAGCTCAGGTTAGGGTGTGTAGAAGAGAGGGAGACTACTTCCCAGTAAAAGTAGGTCTTAGACAGGGATGTATAATGTCACCATGGTTGTTTAATATATTTATAGATAGGGTTGTAAAAGAAGTAAATGCTAGGGTGCTCAGGAGAGGGGTGGGATTAAATTATGGGGAATTAAATACAAAATGGGAAGTGACAAACTTACTTTTTGCTGATGATACTGTGCTTATGGGAGATTCTAAAGAAAAATTGCAAAGGTTAGTGGACGAATTTGGGAGTGTGTTAAGGTAGAAAGTTGAAAGTGAACATAGAAAAGTATAAGGTGATGAGAGTATCAAATGATTTAGATAAAGAAAAATTGGATATCAAATTGGGGAGGAGGAGTATGGAAGAAGTGAATGTTTTCAGATATTTGGGAGTTGACATGTCAGTGGATGGATTTATGAAGGATGAGGTTAATCATAGAATTGATGAAGGAAACAAGGTGAGCGGTGCATTGAGGTATATGTGGAGGCAAAAAATGTTATCTGTGGAGGCAAAGAAGGGAATGTATGAAAATATAGTAGTACCAACACTCTTATATGGGTGTGAAGCTTGGGTTGTAAATGCTGCAGCAGGGAGGTGGTTGGAGGCTGTGGAGATGTCCTGTCTAAGGGCAATGTGTTGTGTAAATATGCGGATAATTCGAAGTGTGGAAATTAGGAGGTGTGAAGTTAATAAAAGCATTAGTCAGTGGGCTGAAGAGGGTTTCTTGAGGTGGTTTGGTCATTTAGAGAGAATGGAAAGCGTATAAATCTGTAGGGGAAGGAAGGCGGGGTAGGGGTCGTCCTCGAAAAGGTTGGAGGGAGGGGGTAAAGGAGGTGTTGTGGGCGAGGGGTTTGGTCTTCCAGCAAGCGTGCGTGAGCGTGTTAGATAGGAGTGAATGGAGACAAATGGTATTTGGGACCTGACTAGCTGTTGGAGTGTGAGCAGGGTAATATTTAGTGAAGGGATTCAGGGAAACCGGTTATTTTATATAACCGGACTTGAGCCTGGAAATGGAAAGTACAATGCCTGCACTCTAAAGGAGGGGTTTGAGATATTGGCAGTTTGGAGGGAATATATTGTGTATTTTTATACGTATATACTTCTAAACTGTTGTATTCTGGGCACCTCTGCAAAAACAGTGATCATGTGTGTGTGAGGTGAAAGTGTTGAATGATGATGAAAGTATTTTTTTGGGGGGGATTTTCTTTCTTTTTGGGTCACCCTGCCTCGGTGGGAGACGGCCGACTTATTGAAAAAAAAAAAATACTTGTAAATTTTAGTGGCTTCAAATCAAGCAGGAGAAAGCTGGTAGGCCCACATGTGAGAGAATGGGTCTGTGTGGTCAGTGTGCACCATATAAAAAAAATCCTGCAGCACGCAGTGCATAACGAGAAAAAAAAACTCCGACCCTTTTTTTTTAATTAAGATGCCGACTTTGTGGTCTATTTTCGTATAGTATTTATGGATGTATTCTCGTTTTCTTGGTCTCATTTGATAGAATGTAAAATATATTATAGAAATAGTGGTGATTTTGATTGGTTTTACTATGAAAAGAACCTTGAAATGGAGCTCAAAGTAGGGGAAATGTTTGATTTTTGCCGATGTTCAAAGGTAAACAAATGATGTCATTTTCCAATAAATGTCCAAGTAGCCATTCTAATATGCAGTCATGAATGGGTTGACATTATTTATATAATTATTACAATATTGCAGTAGTCTGCATAACAGTAAATCTTCTGTTTCTTTTTGAATAAAAATTCAAAATAGAAAGCAAGAGTAATATCAGAGGGGCCTGGAGATGAGACTGATAAAGAAAGAAAATGTTATTTTAGAGCCAGGAATGTCTGCATTGTTCATTCTGGACTATATTTTGAAATTGTCATATTTTTTTAATTTTCGTTAAATTGGCCAAATTGCAAATTTCTGACCACGTTATTGGGTAGTTGAAATCGGTAAATGGGCAGTTTCTTGTACTCAGTCGATAGAAAAAATGGAGTTCTAAAGAAATAGCTATGAGTTTGGTCAACTGGAACAATGGAATTAGCTGAAAATAGGGCTCAAAGTGGGCGAAATCGGCGATTCGTAAATATCGCCGAGGTTGCTAACTTCGCGAGAGTGTAATTCCGTCAGTTTTCCATCAAATGTTGTTCTTTTGAAGTCACTACAATCAGGAACAGATTCTCTATCATTTCATAAGAAAAAGTAATTTTTTTTTTTTTTTTTTGGGGGGGGGGGATTTTGCAACACCAGGAGACGCCTCAGGATTTGGGGTTGCGACAGTCAAGGGGTTAAAAAAGAGTTTCTTTTTTGGGTCACCCTGCCTCGGTGGGAGATGGCCAGCATGTTAAAAAAATAACTTAATTAATGATGCTATAAATTTCCTCTCCTAAGTGCAAGGTATTTGTGTATTGTAACTTTAACTTTCCAGTTTTTTGATAAAAGTGTATTAGAATCATTGTTTCCATGCTGTGTGTGCCATAGAAGGTGACTGAATTTCCTGAGGAAAGAGACTGATTGATATTTTCTCCTGCATTTAATAACTAAACAGAGAAAAGGGTGTCCTGAAGTTTGATTCTTTGAATGTGCTTGGAGATAGTATAGATGAATAGAAATAAAGAGTGACAGGTGAATATGAATAAGATAAGCTGGATCTCCATGACCTGGCATTGGTGTGGTTACAAGTATACATGGCCACACTTCTGCTAGTGGTTACACAGAGATGCTTGTCTTTGTCAACTGTATTGCAGAACGAGTATGAATGTAATTTCAGGATTTTTCTACTGAGAATGGTTGCATATTTTCAACCCCTATTCTCAGGATGTAAAGCTCTGTTTATCCTTCATGTTCAAACTTTTTCATAACTTTCTCTGAAAAACATCAATATTTATTGGTAACAGCTAGCTACATAATGAGGTTTCCCAGTACAAATACCTTTGTAACAGCTAGCTACATAATACCAGATCTTTGAGAGTATCCTAACTTTTTTCATTATTTCCTTGCTATATTTTGAATATGAATATGGAATTTAGATTTGTTATTTTTTTTTTAACACATCGGCCAATTCCCACCAAGGCAGGCTGGCCCGAAAAAGAAACACTTTCATAATCATTCACTCCATCATTGTCTTGCCGGAGATGTGCTTTACACTACAGTTATAAAACTGCAACATTAACACCCCTCCTTCAGAGTGTAGACACTGTACTTCCCATCTCCAGGACTCAAGTCCAGCCTGCCAGTTTCCCTGAATCCCTTCATAAATGTTACTTTGCTCACACTCCAAGAGCATGTCAAGTATTAAAAACCATTTGTCTCCATTCACTCCTATCAAATATGCTCATTCACACTTGCTGAAAGTCCAAGCCCCTCGCACACAAAGCCTCCTTTACCTCCTCCCTCCAACCCTTCCTAGGCCAACCCCTATCCCGCCTTCCCTCCACTACAGATTTATACACTCTCAAAGTCATTCTGTTTTGTTCCATTCTCTCTACCTGTCAAAACCACCTCAACAACCCCTCCTCAGCCCTCTGGATAATAGTTTTGGTAATCCCACACCTTCTCCTAATTTCCCAACTACAAATTTTCTGCATTATATTCACACCACAACTTGCCCTCAGACATGGCATCTCCACTGCCTCCAGCCTTCTCCTCGTTGCAACATTCATCACTCATGCTTCACACCCTTACAAGAATGTTGATACAACTATACTCTCATACATTCCCCTTTTTGCTTCCATGGACAAAGTTTTTGTCTCCACAGACTCCTAAGTGCACCACTCACCCTTTTCCCCTCATCAATTCTGTGATTCACCTCATCCTTCATAAACCCATATGCTGGCACGTCCACTCCTAAATATCTGAATACATTCACCTCCCCCATACTCTCTCCCTCCAATGTGATATCCAGTCTTTCATCACATAATCTTTTTATCCTCATAACCTTACTCTTTCCTATATTCACTTTTAATTTTCTTATTTTATATACCCTACCAAATTCATCCACCAACCTCTGCAACTTCTCTTCAGAATCTCCCAAAAGCACTGTGTCATCAGCAAAGAGCAACTGTGAGAACTCCCACTTTGTGTTTGATTATCTTTTAACTCCACACCTCTTGCCAAGACCCTAGCATTCACTTGTGTTACAACCCTATCTATATATATATATATATATATATTGAACAACCACAGTGACATCACACATCCTTGTCCAAGGCTTACTTTTACTGGGAAATAATCTCCCTCTCTCCTACATACTCTAACCTGAGCCTCACTATCCTCGTAAAAACTCTTCACTGCTTTCAGTAACCTACCTCCTATACCATGCACCTGCCACATTGCCCCCCTGTCCACCTTGTCAAATGCTTTTTCTACATCCATAAATGCCACAAGAGGTTTTTGTGGCATTTATGGATTTAGAA